AGAGAAAGTGAAGTAGGACACAGAGGTACAGAGACAGAGAGAGAACCATGCCAATGTGAACTGGCAAAGTCAGTGTGCTGTGTGCACCATGCACCCAGCTCTCTACCCTCTGAGCTGCCCCCACCCCTGTCTCAGAAATCCCTGGGATCAGTTCCAGTGTTGTGCCAAGTCAGCTGATTGTTGCCAAAGTGTGAATGTGACACAAACATTGTTATTGGTTCCCATCATGTGCATGAAATGAAGCAACAGGATGCTACCCATTAACAAGTGCTTTCCAAGCTCAGGTGAAGACCGGCCAGTCAAATGATGGATGACAGGACTTGTAGAGACCAGTGATGGGAGACAGGAGGTTTGTGTAACAGTGCAGTGTTTGTGAGTGGGATCACGGTGTGGGAAGATGTGGGTGGGAGGGGAGTGGGGGAGATAAGGATGGTGGCACGGGAGGGCTGGTGTGAGGCGTTAGAGGAGTGAAGGACAGGGCAAGGAAGATGAGATGAAGGATGTGATGAAGAGAATGGAGTGGGGGAAATGGGATGAGGGGATTGGGGAGGGTGACAGGGAGAGGGTCGGGATTATACAGCTGTTCTGACCAGTCTCCGAGGGGCGAGTTCCTCAATTTGTTACGGTTCCATACAGGATACCTCAAACTCCAGGGGAGGTGGGTGAACCCACTCCCCCTAGTTACTCACCCACTGTTTGGTTAGTTGTAACAGAGAAAAGGAAGTTGCTGGAGAAATTTAACAGATCTGGCAGTACCTGCAGAGAGAGAACAGAGTTAATATTTCTAGAAGGGTCATATCTGACTAAAAACGATAACTCTATTTCTCTCCGCACTGATGCTACCAGACCTGCTGAATTTCTCCAGGAATTTCTGTTTTTATTTAGATAGCACCTGCAGTATTTTGATTTTAATTTTAAAAAAGAGCCCTTCTTTCTCTTCCAGACCTGATGAATTTATGTTTTTTATAAAGAGCCATTTAACCAGGCATTTTGTGTTATCAAAGAGTGAGATTACTAAATACTAAACACAAGAAAAATTGGCAACACGTTCTTAGGTTAGAAAAAAAGTGGCATTTTCCCAAAGAAAAAGAAACATAGAATCATAGGATCCCTACAGTGTGGAAGCAGGCATTTTGGCCCATCACATCTACACTGACCCTACGAAGTGCATCCCACCCATACCCAATGCCCCTATCCCTGTAACCCTGCATTTCCCATGGCTAATCCACTTAGCCTACACATCTCTGAACACTACGGGCAATTTAACATGGCCAATCCACCCTAGCCTGCACAAATTTGCACTGTGGGAGGAAACTGGAGCACCCGGAGGAAACCCACACAGACACGGGGAGAATGGAGGGGAGAGTAATGGCTTACAGTGGCAGACTTGTATGAGGATAATGGGAAGAATTGAACATAGACACCAGCATGGAGTGCTCAGGCCAAATGGCCTGTTTCTTTGCTTGTATAACCCATGTCATGAGTGAAATGTGATGTTCCTTCACAATCCCTGTTAGCTCTCCCTGTGAAACTCAATGTGTCCACATTTCCAGTCATTCTGTCCCTAATGACAGATTGCTGGTTTGAGCTATAAGGAGAGGCTGAATAGGCTGGGGCCATTCTTCCTGGAGTGTGGAGGCTGAGGGATGACCTTACAGACATTTAGAAAATCATGAGGGGCATGGATAGGGTGAATAGCCAAGGTCTTTTCCTCAGGGTGGGGGAGTCCAAAAGCTAGGTTTAAGTCGAGAGGGGAAAGATATCAAAAGGACGTAAGGGGTAACATTTTCATGCAGAGGGTGGTGTGTGTATGGAATGAGCTGCCAGAGGATGTGGTGGAGGCTGGTACAATTATACATTTAAAAGGCATCTGTATGGGTACATGGATAGGAAGGGTTTAGAGGGATATGGGCCAAATGCTGGCAAATGGAACTAGATTAACCTCGGTTATCTGGTTGGTATGGATGAGTTGAACTGAAGGGTCTGTTTCTGTGTTGTATGAATCTATGACTCAGTGACTCTAATCTGACAAGCCTGGAGCTGACAGGTTTCACTCTGTCACCCCTTGAAAAGAGGGGAGCTGAGGAGTGTCAGATCAGCCATGATCCTACTGAAGGGTGGAAGAGGCTCAAGGGGCTGAATGGCCTACTCCTGTTCCTACTTCTAATGGATGTACGGGACACATACAGTTTTCCAATGCAGGAGACAATTCCTGAATTCTCTCCATTACCATTTTCTAAAGTTGCTGTTGGATATTGCATTTGATTTGTTTGCAGTTCCTCTTGTGCTATGGCTGTCCTAGCCTCATTCTGTCCAATAGGGAGAGAGGTGCTGATTGTCAAAGGGATTTAGGACCCTGTAGTAACCTTGTCAATGAGGTCACAAAGTTGCTCCCCACGGGGTATAAATAGTACAGTTGGAAAATTGCTAGAAATCAGAGCTTAGTCTCTTTCCAATGGATCAGTAAGATTAGAGCCTGGTATATCTCTGACTGACGTATCGATAAGTCATCGATTAAATTCCACAGAAACCAGAGGATAAAGAACAGATCTTGACAATTGCTCTGTTTCTCACTCACTCTGCTCCACCTCCTGTAGCTCCTCAGTTCTTCTTCAGTGAATTTTTAAAAGTTTTTCCAATGGTACCTGCCAATGATTTTCTCACATTCCCTTTTTGCAGCTTTTAAAGTATTCAGGAGCAAGGAGCACTTCCTTACACAGGGGTCAGTGAGGGAAACTGGATCCCCCGTCCCCTCGGTGAGGGAAACTGGATCCCCCTGTCCCCTCAGTGAGGGGAACGGGATCTCCCTGTCCCCTCAATGAGGGGAACTGGATCCCCCTGCCCCCTCAGTGAGGGGAACTGGATCCCCCTGTCCCCTCAGTGAGAGAAACTGGATCTCCCCATCCCCTCAGTGAGGGAAACTGGATCACTCGTCCCCTCAGTGAGGGGAACTGAAAACCCCAGCCTCTCAATGAGGGAACTGGATCCCCCCATCCCCTCAATGAGGGAAACTGGATCCCCCTTTCCCCTCAGTAAGGGAAACTGGATCACTCGTCCCGTCAATGAGGGAAACTGGATCCCCCCTTACCCTCAGTAATGGAAACTGGATCACTCGTCCCATGAGTGAGGGAACTGGATCCCCCCATCCCCTCAATGAGGGAAGCTGGATTCTCCCTTGCCCCTCAGTGAGGGAAACTGGATCCCCCGTCCCCTCAGTGAGGGGTACTGGTTCACCCCATCCCCTCAATGAGGGAAACTGGACCCCCCTGTCCCCTCAGTAATGGAAACTGGATCCGCCCATCCCCCCAGTGAGGGAAACGGGTCCCCCATCCCCTCAATGAGGGAAACTGGATCCCCCCATCCCCTCAGTAATGGAAACTGGATCACTCGTCCCCTCAGTGAGGGAAACTGGATCCCCCGGCCCCCTCAGTGAGGGAAACTGGATCCCCCGTCCCCTCAGTGAGGGAAACTGGATCACTCGTCCCCTCAGTGAGGGAACTGGATCCCCCCGTCCCCTCAGTCATGGAAACTGGATCACTCATCCCTTCAGTGAGGGAAACTGGATCCCCCCATCCCCTCAATGAGGGAACTGGATCCCCCCGCCCCCTCAGTGAGGGAAACTGGATCCCCCCCGCCGCCCCCTAAGTGAGGCAAACTGGATCATCCCTGTCCCCTCAGTGATGTGAAACTGGATCACTCGTCCCCTCAATGAGGGGACTGGATGCCCCCAGCCCCTCAGTGAGGGAAACTGGATCCCCCCGCCCCC